TCTGCTCACTTCAGAGGAGAAGAGCACAATAAGTGCAAATGCTGTGACAGCGCAGCCGCTAAGAAAATGTGCTACCGAGGAGAACAAGAAAAAGCACAATGCACAAAGGAGTACATAAGCAGGGGTATCCTCGCAGGGGTAAATTGGCCCCTTCTGGCAAATGCAACAGCAGCAAAGCAGTAGAAAGTAAATGACAATTCATACAAATGCAAGCCCCACCCTTTTCCTTTTTCCCTTTTCTTTGCGTTTCCCCTCCCACCGACTACTTGCTACGGTCCTGAATCCTGGCGTTTTTTCTCTTTCTTGGCCCAACGTACTGATCACATTTCAATGTCAGTACCGATACAGAAGTTTAAATAGTCAGATGATCAAGGAGGGGGAGAAACTCACAGCCACAAGCGTTACACAGAGTCTTTGGTCCTTCCGGGCCTTTCCTCCACTCGGGTGAGTCCGACGTCCCGCAATCCGTGCACATATACTCGCCTTTCATTCTTTTCTTCCTGTCAACGGCCTCTGCAGGATTCTTGGACTGTGTTTGCTGTGGCTGTTGCTGTTGCAATTGTTGCTGCTGTTGTTGGTCGCTTGGAGGAGCCGCAGCAGCAGCAGAACCGGCAGCAACGGTGTTCGGCTGCTCCGCATCACAACGAACCAGACGGCCATGACGGACCCCCGTACTCAATCCCTGTGATCTTTCTCCTTCTCCGTAGTACAAACCCGTCATAACCTCAATCCCGTCGATATGGGACATGTCTTCAGTCTGCGGCAACCGATCCCCAATCTGCTCCAGAAATGATCGCGAATCGGCGTCGTCCGTATTAGTGAATGTGTCGGATGATTCATTCTCCTCTCCAGATACTGATGTATCTCGTTGCGCAAACGAGGTTTGTGTCGTTGATACATACGTCTGGCGCGTTGTTGTCGTGGTAGTGGTGCTGGTTGTCGTTGTTGTTGACGTCTGCCCTGGTCTCGAATTCAACTCCTCTTCTTCCTCTTCCTTCAATTGGGCTATGCGCTGGTTCAGCCGGATGTTCTCGATCTTATGTTCCAGAAACGAATCGAGTAACTGTGAACCCCGCGTGGGATATGGTCGACAGACAAGGAATATCCCTTTACAGACTGTCTTTTGTTGCTGCAGCTGCTGGGATGATTCTGCGGTCGCAGAAGAAGCAGATCCGGTCGTCATTAGGTGTGGATGTCCATGCGCCTCTAATAGACAGGAGCTACTGTCAGGCCTACAGAGCCGGAAGTGACATCGGATTTCGCGTCCGGTCTTGATGCACTCGTCCAATTCGTGGCCTAGGATAGGCTTGTCGTCTTCATGGACGAAACGGGAGAAATCGCTTTGTTCTAGCATGTGCGATTCAATACCCGTCACCTCGGAGCATGATGGTGACGCGTATAGAACCTGTCCATCGTGACTGAGGAGAAGGAGCAGGTCTTTCAGTTCGTCTAGTACTCTCGCAGACCAGCCGTCATTGTTGGTGCCGGCAGGGCCTATGTCGGGAGTGGGGTGGTGGGGATTGCTGGTTCCCACTGGCGCTGTAGTAGTTGTAGGTGTGGAAGCAAGAGCAGGAACTGTGCTTGTGATAGTGGCAGGAGTCGTTGAAGTGGTAGCAGCAGCAGCGGAAGAAGAGATGGTAGCGGAAGCGGAGAGTTGAAGCAGATTAGCGGCGCCGCGGCTCATCGAGCGAGGAATACTCCGCGCGTCCATGCTATACGGGGGCCCCGGTGGTTTTGAGTTCGACACTGGGGCTCGTAGACCGTATGCCTGGGACGGAGTCTGGTTCTGCGCCACTCTTCGTCCTTGATGGAATTCGAGTTCCATCGCTAGGCTGCGCGGGGATCAAATCGATCGATCGCCGGGGTGGTGGGGACTCTTCTTCCCGGGGGGGTGAAAAACTCGGTAGGTTTCCCTATAAAGAATATGATACAGAAAGGGATTGGAAAAAGATAGAGAGAGAAAGAAGAGAGGGTAAGTGAGCAGTGTTTCTTGGACTTTTTCTGGACATGACCGCGGTGGTGAATCCAGTAGAGCTGTCAATTCTTGTACTTTTGGTCGGCCACATCGTCATTGGTATCGCACCGACACGCGGGATCCACTGCGGCTGCCAATCAAATCCGCCGATGGGGCTTCCCGGGGATTTCCGTACTATCCGGGCTGCTGATTGGTGGGCTGCTGCGGCGTCGGGAAACTTTCAGGTACCGTTGTACAATACAGGTCGGTATGTCTGTATGATTGCTGCAGGGGGCATCCCGGTCGATGCTTCATTGCTTCAAAGTTGGGTATTCTTGCTGCTTCGCTTGCGCTCCGCTTGCGATACCCCCCATGGGTTATCTTGGATTCTATCCCTCTTGACTGGCCCTCTACTCCTACTCCTTTCCCGTCACGATCACCTCATCCCTGAAGCATACATCATCCTGCGTGGTGTGGTGTGGGATTATCTTGTCAAGCATGGGTTGACTATCTGGCTTCCGTTAGATCCGCTAGGGACGTGCATCGCGTAGCGCCGCCATCTACTAATTTTAACATTCGTGGGCTGATATCAGGCATCAATAATAGATGAAATTATCGACTATCTATCGACTATTTCGACTATCGTCCCTTGAGGAGCCTGCAATCCGCATTTGCCTTCTTTTAATTCTCCGTGGGATATCCACACCGAACGCCCTTTACAATCCATCCCGCCTTGAAAGAACATGCAAAGCTGGGAAGCTGCAGATGCTAACGGTCACCCGTCTGTGCAATTGCAGACGTCAGACCACACCGCCGCACCCACGCGAACGGGTACGTTGGACTCTGTTAAGTGCTGGTGGAGATGGCCTAGAGTATTAAGCGAGCCCAGGCGCAGACCAGACCCGGAATGTCCTACCGGCGGGATGATCCCCCTGTCTTGGGGAGTCTGATACTATGCTCATGCCATGTTCTTCCTTCCAGCCTTACAAAGGATGAATGCACCTCCCACTTACGCTACTACAGATGACGAGCTACTACGCAGAGCAACGAGACGGTCAGATATGGCTGATACCATAGCTCTTTCTATATAGCCCATATAAACTTATGTGCCACAGTATCTGAAGATTCATTAACATAAACAATCTGCTTCAATTGACAATTTGCCATAAAAATTTCAATGTGAAGGCCCTACCAGGGAACCTGAGAACCACAATTACTGCCGTCACTATTCCAGGATCCTTCCACATGTTCTGAGACCGAGGCCATGACTAGCCAAGCCCCACCGTCTATCTTCTTCGACACGTCAGAAGCAACTACAACATGCACATGGAGGAACGGAAGCTTGGCGGCCGCTACTTCCCAAAGACAACATCAGCTTTGCTGATGCACCACTCAGCTGGAAGATCTTACTTACTGTTGAATCACAACTAGTATTTGCACCTGCACCTCAGTCCATGATAGTGACAACCACAGAAATGATAATCTTTATCATGGCAATTGCACACTTTCAAAACGCTGCATCTGCCTTCGCAGAAACGGTAATTCTTGAACTCGGTTAGCATTGATCCCACCAGCCAAATAGGATGGTGTTTACAGAGTTCAACTCTTCCTCGACATCTGTGATAGCCATGGACATGCCATTACCGTCGACATCGTCGAAGGCCTCGTTAGGGTTATTGACGGCTGCAGTGCCAATATTCCCGGCAACTACATCATCGACGTTGGCAACTTCGGTAGGGTTGGCAGAAGAAGTGGCCAGGCTAGCCTTGAAGAAGAGACAGGACAAGCACAAGAGAACGATGATGTTCTTGAAGTAAAACATCCTGAATGGAGGTAAACTGGTACAGTATCTGAAGGCGAGTGGACTAGGGGTGGTTTGATGAGAGGATAGATTGGAGAGAAGAGGGCTTTGAACCAGAGAAGGCTGGAAGGTAAGGTGAGCCTTTTGTATGTGACACCTGGTGTTCGCAACATCGATCCTATGTGCACTTGAGTAACCGCTCTAGCCCAAAGAATCTACAGTCGATATTATCATAGTGGCCATGCCCGCTATTTACATCTGAGGCACAGCCTTTTGAACCTAGAGGTACGTGCAACACGGCATACAGCGAAGAGGTAGGGGTAGCAACACACAATCTACTAGTCTTTGCATTGCCCGATTAGATGCTGTCAAATAACATGAAAACCCCCAGATAGGATTGCCAGTGATTCATCTGTTGCAGCCAGCCTGATATCAAGTTGCTTGACGCAGGTATATTGCGCAGGGAATCTTCTACATACCTATATACAAAGATTACAGCAAGAACTTCCTCGTATAGCCCATGTAGTCAACTTACCCGTGGCTCTTCTACCCAACCAAGAACGGAGCGTCCGTCCCCATAAGTTCCACGAAGAAGTACAGAGTCCCTCCAAGGAAGGGAAAGCATGTCCCAAAAAATATATTAGCAAGCTACAGACCATCCAATAATTCATTTACCAAAGTTTCCCCACAACATTAAGCGCCCCCTACTCCATTCCATCCCAGTGGTGATATCTACTCCGTAGAAAACATACATCCCAAATCAATATCCACCACCCCCCAACTGACCGCCCATACACGTGACCTCGCGCCGTCTCCCCGCGTCGACCGACGCGCCGATCCCAAGCGCAGCTGCTCGCTATCTATCCGGCACGCTTTCTTTATCCCGAGTGGAGAAAGAATATCACGGGGAAGGTGTGATTTGCAGGCCTGCCACCTACCCTTACGCATCCGTGGAAACGGACCGGGCCTTTTCTTCCCTCTTTTGTTACCCTTCTATTGTGAAGTGACGTTTTCCATAATGTGAGATTTCGTTCTGCATCCGGCCACAAACATTCTTTACTAATCAGTCCCTCCGCAGGTGTAAGTTCCGCGGAGGTCGTGTGAACGATCGAGGGTACTAATCATCGGGGGTTTGTTTGTCGCAGCGAAGATAGATAAGTTGTCGATATTGGGGTGAGTGCTCCTTTCTTATAATTTATTTGGATGGAGAGATGTATAGGAGTGTTTTGCTGACAGTTGCTTGTGATGGGCGCTAGTGTTCGGTCGTTCGATAATACGCGCAGCGAGACGATCCAGTTTCACACGCCGCTTACGTTGATTGTTGGGTATAATGGATCTGGAAAGACGGTATGATGGATGGTTTATGATGGTACTATGGAGGTTGTCAGGCTAATGGAGTTGGGGGCAGACTATCATCGAGTGTCTCAAATATGCGACCACCGGCGATTTACCCCCCAACAGCAAGGGTGGTGCGTTCATCCACGATCCGAAGGTACGCGATTCTATAAGATATGGTATTGAGTAGGATGGACAGACGTGCTGAGATATTATGGCAGCTATGTGGCGAGAAGGAAGTCCTGGCCCAGGTGAAACTGTCGTTTAAAGGCACGTCAGGCGCGAAGATGGTCGCTACGAGGAGTCTACAACTCACGGTGAAGAAAACAACACGGCAGCAAAAGACACTAGAGGGTCAGTTGTTGATGGTTAAGGATGGTGAGCGGACGTCTATTTCCTCCCGCGTGGCGGAGCTGGATCAGATCATGCCTCAGTATCTCGGCGTATCGAAGGCGATCCTGGACTCCGTTATATTCTGTCACCAGGACGAGAGCTTGTGGCCGATGAGTGAACCCTCGGTGCTGAAGAAGAAGTTCGATGAAATCTTCGAAGCTATGAAGTATACGAAGGCGATCGACAACATCAAGTCTTTGCGGAAGAAGCAGAATGAGGAGCTTGCTAAGTACAAGATCATGGAGCAACATGCCAAAGAGGATAAGGAGAAGGCCGATCGTGCAGAGAAACGATCAATAAAGCTTCAGGATGAAATCGAAGCTCTGCGCGAAGAAACACACCAGCTCTCTCAGGAAATGCGCCGGGTGGCTGATCTTGCTGATAAGGCGTGGAAGGAGTCGGAAAGTTACTCCCAGGTCTTGGGTGCGCTCGAAGGAAAGCGCATTGAGGCCAAAAGTATTCGGACGACTATTGATAATCTCAAAAGACATCTGGTTGAGCTAGACGACTCCGACGAGTGGCTTCAGTCGAACCTGGAGCAGTTTGAGTCAAGGCAGCTTCAGTACCAGCAGCAAGAAGAAGCCAAGAAGGAGAACTATATGGAGCTCAAAGAGCAGATAGAGCAAACTCGACAAAGACTGGGAGTCAAGCAAGCAGAGTATGGCAAGTTTGAGAACGACAAAGCCAACTTCGAGCGCCAGGTCGAGCGGCGACAGAGGATGACGAAAGAGGTCGCTCGAGCGCACAATATCCGTGGTTACGATAATGTCGAGGACCAGGCAGACGTTGATGAGTTCATGCGGAGAGTGCGAAAAATTCTGAAAGATCAAAACCTGGCACTGGAACGGGTGAAGAAGGAGGCGCAAAATGAACTACGTGACGTCCAGGCAACCCTTAACCAGATCGGACAACAGAAGTCTGCGCTACAGGAAAGCAAAAACGCAGCCAAGCGACAGATTGCCTCGAATGATAGGGAAGCAGCCACCTATCAAGGAAAACTCAACGAGATCAACGTGGACGAAGGCGTCCAGGCTGCCCTGGAGTCGAACATTGAAGACATCGGATCTCGTTTGGACCAAGCCAAGGAGCGCGCACGATCCGCATCTTGGGACAAGGAGATTCAGAATGTGAACTCACAAATTCGCGACCTTGAGGACGAGAGTTCGCGCTTGAATACTGAGCTCATCGAGGCAACAAAGAAGGCTGGTGATTTGGCTCGATTAGACCACCTCAAGAAGGAATTGAAAGAACGGGAGCGCGGATTGGAGACGATGAAAGGCGCTCACGGTGAACGACTGACAAAATTTGTAAACGCCAACTGGAGCCCTGAATCTCTAGAGCAGGACTACCAGCACGTCATAGAGGAGGAGTCCAGACACGTCTCAAGGGCAGAGCGCGAGCGTGATGGAGTCAGCAGAGAACTCGAGCAGGTGGAGTTCAGAATGAAGGGCGTCAAGAAAACATTAAGTCAGCGACAGAAGGAACTCAAGGAGTGCATCAAAGTGATCCGCGATGCCGTCGATGACGAACCGGAAGAATACCCTGAGATTTTGAAAGAGCGTCAAGCCCAGCTCGATCTTGCCAGGAAGGACGCTGAACAATACGCCGGAGTCAGCAAGTACATGGCCGACTGTCTCGACACCGTGAAGTCGGCAAGCATGTGCAGATTGTGCATGCGGACTTTCCGAACCGAAAACGAGCTACAGACCTTCAAGAACAAGTTAGAGGGGTTAGTGAAAAGAGCGAAACGGGTGATGGAGGATGACGAAATACCCCGTCTCGAAGAGGACCTTAATACCGCCCGCGAGGCCAGCACAGCCTACGATACCTGGTGTCGTCTGAAGCAGACAGAAATTCCAGATTTGGAGAAAGAGGAAGAAGAGTATACTGCCCAACAAGACAAGCTCCTGAGCCAATTGGAAGAGAACGACAAGATAGTCAGCGAAAAGGCCGATAAAAAGAAGGACGTCGAGTCATTGTCAAAGACGGTCAATACTATTGTCAGATACGACAGTGAAATCAAGTCCATACGCTCCCAGGTCCAGGACTTGTCTTCGAAACAGCACGATACGAATGCCTCTCGTACACTGGAAGATATTCAGGATGAAATTGCGGGCATTGGCGAGAAGTCTAGAGCCTTGAAGAAGACTCTGTCGAAACTCACTCACGAGAAGGAGCAAACATTGTCTGAGATGAACAAATTGGAGCTGCAACTCAGAGACGTCAAGAGCAACCTCGACAACGTGAAATTTAAGCTCGAGCGGAAGGCAGACCTCCTGGCTCGTATCGAAGAGTACAAGAACCTCAACAACCAACAACGCGAAGCCATTGCAAAGGCGGACAAAGAGATTGAAGATCTAACCCCTGAACTTCTCAAGGTCCAAGCCAAGTACGACGATATCAGCCAGCGTGCCGAAGCGCGTGAAAAGGACATGCAGCAGGAGATATCCCACCTCTACGAGAATATACACCAACTTGAACTGGCAAACGAGGAGATCGACGCCTACAACGAGCGAGGCGGCCCTCATCAACTAGAGCGCAGCAAGCGTGAACTGCAAAGCATCGAGGACGAGATCAGCAATCTCGAAATCGAGCAAGCCAATATCACTAAAGAGATCAACAAGATATCTGCTCAACTCAAGGACAGCGAGAACACCAAGCGCCAATACGCCGACAACCTGACATACCGCCAGGCGACCCGATCTCTCGACGCAGTCACCGAAGAGATCGAGCAGCTAGCGGCGCAAAACGCCGAAGTCGACCGAAGCCGCTTCAAAGAAGAATCCGAGCGCAGAGCACGAGAACACAACGCGCTCGCCGCCAAACAAGCCAGCAAAATGGGCGAGATGAAAGGCAAGGACGATCAACTGATGCAGCTCCTCGCAGACTGGAATACCGACTACAAAGACGCAGCAAGCAAATACAAGGAAGCGCACATCAAGGTGGAAACAACCAAAGCCGCAGTGGACGACCTAGCGCGGTACGGCGGCGCCCTCGACAAAGCCATCATGAAATATCACGGGCTCAAAATGGAAGAAATTAACGCCATCATCAGCGAGCTCTGGCAAAAGACCTACCGAGGCACAGACGTCGACACCATCCTCATCCGCTCCGACAACGAAAACGCCAAGGGCAACCGCTCCTACAACTACCGTGTCTGCATGGTCAAGCAAGGCGCAGAAATGGATATGCGTGGCCGCTGCAGTGCCGGTCAAAAGGTGCTAGCAAGTATCATCATCCGACTCGCTCTTGCGGAGTGCTTCGGTGTCAACTGCGGCCTGATTGCTCTTGATGAACCCACGACCAATCTTGACCGTGATAATATTCGCTCGCTTGCGGAATCGCTACATGATATTATTAGGACTAGACAGCAACAGGCCAATTTCCAGCTTATTGTCATTACCCATGACGAGGAGTTCTTGCGGCATATGCAGTGCGGTGACTTCAGTGATTACTATTATCGGGTCTCGAGGAATGAGAAGCAGAAGTCGATTATTGAGAGGCAGTCTATTGCTGAGGTATGTTTGCCGCCCCAGCTCTTTTACCCTTAATGTGGATTATATTTGTGAAGTGAAATTTCAGGACTAATGTTGTCTTGTTCAGGTGATGTGATTTGGTCACTCTTCGAATTCGAGTTTCCGCTTATGGCCTGAACTGCAGGCCTCGCCATCTGGGAAGGAAGAGTGATTTGATCAGCGATCTTATAGTTACGTTCTATGTAAATTACCTGGTATTTGGTATGGTTAATGAGCATGAGGCGGCGTTGGGGAATTAAAAAAGAACACTATATTGCTTTTTGACATTTCACATCAAGTCCACTATATAGATACAGTCCATATATTCTCTAGTACCACTCACTCCAGATCATCACCGTCTTCATCATCCAACAACGGCACAAACCGGAAATCCACAAACGTCACAACAGGCGGTGGACCACCCTTGAGCGGCCGTACACCACCAGCCCCATTAGCATCAAACTCAATCATAAACTGAAGACTCAATACCCCCTGGCGATCCCCACGAATGCTCACTTTATTAGCCACTGCCATAGCACGCGCCGCCTTCTGAATCAGCGCGAACTTATAATTCTGCTTAAGACGCGATCCCATGGACGACGGCGGACTGACAAGGAACGTCTCCGTGACCGTCGGCGCAAGTTTAGCTTTCTTCGCACGGGACCCTTCATCAATTGAGCCTCTTGCATCACCTCCCGGACCATTAGCCCCGCTATTCTCGACGGAGAATTCTACAGATGACTCGCTGAACGAGCCTCCCGTGCCGGAGAGAGCGAAGAATGGTTCGCGGGTCGCGGACGCGGAGATCTTCAATACCGATGGGCTTGTAGCGGCTAGTTCTGAGATGGCGTTGTGGAGCCAGGCAGAGCGCATGATGATCTTCAGGATGATGGCGTCTCGTTGGAGGGGTATGTCGACTTCGCTGCCTTCGGTTTCGTAGGTTGTTAATTCGCAGGTGGTTTTGACGCCCGTCTCTGAGAGAGTGATGCTGAGGGGAGAGCCTTCGCTGGTGTAGCGGATTGTGCAGGAGCGGTCTAGGAGTAAGGAGGGGGCCGAAAAGGCGCCAGGTCCGGATGGGTGGGTTGGCTGGACGCTGGATGCTCGACCGGCGTTTGGGTTGGTGGAGGAGTCGTTGGTGCCGAAGATCTTGAGGGTTTCTAGGAGGGCGGATAACGAGACGACGAAGCATGGGTAGTAGGTGGAGGGGTCGGAAGCTGAGTCGTCGTCGTCGTTGTTGTTGTCGTCTGTTGTCCCTTGGTTTGGCGCGGCTGGTGGGTTGAAGGTGTAACTGGTGAAGAGGGCTTTGTCGAGGAATGCGAGCCCCTGGATGACTCGCATCTCTTCAGCGGAGAAGCGGATTCCATCTGGGGTTATTTGCACGGTGGCCCTGGATGCGAAGCCGATGCATTGGAGGAGAGTGTAGAGGTGGTGGGCATTGCTGGAGACAGCAGTGAAGATGGGTTCCGTGTCCGTCATGATGGTTTGAAGTGAAATTGGCTTAAGCACGACAGAGTAGAGACTCGAGAGCTATGTTAAGATAGATTGCTGGAGTGCGAAGAGAACTTTGGTGATTATAAAGGTAACGATATGCTTCGTTTCAAACTCTCCAGTGTATGGTACATGGGTATCTGGGAAACAACTGGAATTTTTTAAACGTAGACCCCAACGGCACAGATCATGAATACGGCTCCGAAGCTGGACGGGGAATTTGTTAGCGATGGTTAATAAGGTGGCTGTTGTTAGGGTAGATCCGTGGCTTACCCAAATGCCAAAGATGCCGGGACTCCGAAGGAAGCGATGCTAAGGAAGGAACGATCTGCGCAAGTTGTAAGTATATGGTTGTGACAAGAGTACAAGACATTTCATATGTGGAAATGATCTCTGGTGTGGTGTAAGTACTGACTCAATCCGAAAAGTCCAGTGAGGATGAAAGCTGTTGTAAGTTAGTAATTGTTTGGAGTGTGAGAGTGGTCGGGGTCCGGCTCACCAGCAAGTAGTAGACTGAAGCCGACAAAGAACTGGCTGTCTTTAGAGACTGGAGGAGTATACGGGCTCGCAGAAGCTGCCTGCCAGACTTCGTTCAGAGACATGAGGGCTTGTGAGATGCGCTTAATTTCAATGGCTTGTGTATAAAGGAGAGAAGACAGTTTAAAGAGAGGAAATGAGGAGAAGAAGGAGGAGAGGGAGCTTCCCTCAAGCTGTCGTCGTAATGCCATGGAGCCCGAACTAGTAATTGGTTATCTGGCTTGACGGCCGCGGATCAACTTCTTCCCGTTCCGCTCCCCGTATCGGCGGCCGCAGCTCGTGTGGAGAGAGTCGCTGAGGTTCAAGACGCTTTCGTCCAGAAGTCATCGGAATTCGTCGCGCATCATGCCTGCAATCACAGATAGTAAGTATTCGATGCTGGATTACGCGTTCTTGCGACTATCCTGGTCTTTTTGCTCATGTCAAATCCAGGTGCCAAGCGGAAAGCATCGGAGGAGGCGCTCTCCCCAGATTCCCACAAGAAGGCGCGCACTGACTCTCCCGAGAGGGAGCCCAAGGTATGTTGCATGATCTCTTTGTCTTTGTGCTGAGTATGGCACTAATGTACTTTGCTTGCCTTAGATCGAAGATGACCTCCTGGATAAGCCACCGAGAATCGTTCCCTTCCCGGAGAAGGTAAGCCCTCACTCGAGCCCGCAACCCGCCCGAGCTCCGATGACGCTGACTCCACGGTAGCCTGCAGTTCTTGAGGAACGTCGCGGCGATATCGAATTTCGTGTAGTCAACAACGACGGATCTCGCGACAGCTTTGTTGTCCTTACAGGTCTCAAATGTATCTTTCAAAAACAGCTCCCGAAGATGCCTAAAGACTACATCGCGCGATTGGTTTACGACAGGTCGCATCTTTCCTTGGCCATCGTCAAACACCCTCTGGAAGTCGTGGGAGGCATCACATACCGACCATTCAACAGTCGCAGGTTCGCCGAAATCGTTTTCTGTGCCATTTCGTCCGACCAGCAGGTTAAAGGATACGGTGCGCACTTGATGTCTCATCTCAAGGATTATGTCAAAGCCACATCGGACATCATGCACTTCCTCACATACGCCGACAATTACGCCATTGGGTACTTCAAGAAACAAGGGTTTACCAAAGAGATAACACTCGACAAATCCGTCTGGATGGGATACATCAAGGATTATGAGGGTGGTACAATCATGCAGTGCACCATGTTACCTAAGATACGGTATCTCGAGGTTGGCCGCATGCTTCTGAAGCAGAAGGAAGCTGTACACGCGAAGATCCGGGCCTTCAGTCGCTCACATATCATTCATGCACCCCCTAAGGAATGGAAGAATGGACCGTGCAAGATTGACCCATTGAGTATACCGGCTATCAAAGAGTCGGGATGGTCACCGGACATGGATGAGCTAGCACGTCAACCACGCCACGGACCCAACTACAACCAGTTACTACATCTCCTTAACGATATGCAGAACCACAGCGCGGCATGGCCCTTCACTCAGCCAGTCAATCGCGATGAGGTTCCTGACTATTACGAAGTCATTAAGGAGCCCATGGACCTGTCAACCATGGAAGAAAAACATGAGAAAGACATGTATCCGACGCCACAAGACTTTATTAAAGACGCTATGTTAATATTTGATAACTGCCGGAGGTACAACAACGAGAACACGCCCTATGCGAAGAGTGCCAATAAACTAGAGAAGTTCATGTGGCAGCAGATACGAAATATCCCGGAGTGGTCGGTGAGTATTGGAACCTGATTCTGATGCCCATACCTATCTTGTTCACGATTGCTAACATGACACAGCATTTGGCCGACGGGCATTGATACTAGCGTACTCTGTATGTTGGAGTTCTTTAAAGGCGTTTCCGTGGCGTGAACAAATACCCAGGCGTGGAGAACATGGTTTATTTTAGCTTTTAGCCTGTCTCTTCAAATTTCGTGTTTCAATAATTTCCGACAATACTAAACACATTGATCGGTCGCAGCCATGCTCAGAAACATTCGCTTATTTGCTCCCTTACGCGCCATCACCACCCAAGGCCCCATTGTTCGTCCGCGACGAACGTCCCACTCAGTTTCTCCGGGTCGCCTTCTGTGGCAGCGCGCACAATGACCCTGGCCCCGTCGCTTGCTTCCTTGACTCCTTGACCTCCGTTGATACTGGTGCGGCAGTAGCCCGGGGCAGCCGCAATGACAGCAATCTTCTCATCAGCCAGCTTTACCGCATGAGCGACGGTGATCATATTAACCGCTGCTTTGCTACTGCGGTAGTCAGGTATGAAATAGGTCTTTGCGCTAGCCGGATGATCCTTGTGGCCGGCTCTGCTGATCAGACCCTGCCCGGACGTGACATTGACAATGCGGCGATCGGAATACGTCGATGCACGCAGCAATGGGAGGAATGTATCCATGACAACCACGATGCCAAACACATTGACATCGAATACTTGCCGGTATTGCTCGCGCAGGGTAGTGGCGGGTGTCTGCGCAATGCCCGCATTATTGATCAGGATGTCCAGACGTCCGAATGTTTCCGAGACGGTCTGCGCAGCTGCAGCGATGGACGCATCATCTGTCACATCGATGGAAATGGGTGTGAGAGCTGATTTGTCCACTGCATCTGATTCCAGCTCCTTGACTGCAGCTTCGGCCTTGAGTGTCGTGCGTGCGCCGACTAGCACATGGAACTTGCTTGAGCTAGCTAGCTGCTGTGCCACGGCGAAGCCGATGCCTTGATTGGCACCGGTGATGAGAACGAGGATTTTGGAGGTCGTCATGTTTTTTTTGTTTTTTTTTGCATGGAATAGTTGAGATGATAGTTGAGATGATACAATCTGCGAGAGCTGATTATGTCTGGATCCATTGGGATTTGGGATCCTTGATATAGTTATTACTGTCCGTAGAAGTCCGAACCCCGAATCCGTTAACTCCGTTACGTCCTTCCAAGACCTGTTCAATAAGCACGGCTTGCCCGACTGTCCTCCTGATCGCCGTAGCATGTTTAGTATAGTAGCATACTGGGTAGAAGGTAAATTCAACTTGGGAATAACTAAATGGACACATTTCGTCTCACTTGGATTAATCGTTACTGGATGTATACTGTAAAATCTGTCCATAAGATTCTTGAAGGACTCGTTCGACGCAAAATGTCCAGTACAAAGACAAAGCTACAATTCTCTATGAACCCCGTCAGTCGAGGAAGGTGCAGAGATAAGACTGGTCGATTAGAAACCTCCGTAAGTATGTTGGAAATAATCCAGCTGACCATGAAGGAGTTACCATTTCAAACCATGGAGGTCTGACATGTTAGAGAGTTTGGACTGAAACCTTAGCCTTGGCGTTAGCTTAGAAGTGTCTTAAGAAGCAAGCTCATTTGGGCATATTTCTTGGATAGTAAGCAGGACATGAACATAGCGGTGAAGAGTAAATGTCTTCACTATCTCCAAGTTATTTCATTCCCTACTTATGCAATATGCCTGCTGCTTTATGCTATCTAATTCGGTGTAGGCAATACACCAAAAAAGGCACCAAAAACAATGATATCATTGAGTAACCTTAAAGATTAAAAACGGGGGGGGGTCACTGGGCTTATCATCGGCACGATGTTCATCATTTGCCGTCCCGGTTTTTAAATCTAATTAATTATTTGCCCAGTGCACATAAAGCAAAACACTCGTTTTTTGGGGTGGCTTGCAGGAAAATAACGGTCCAGTCCATGACCCGCCCCCGGGCAAAATGGACATTGTTCGAGATTTTGATTATTATTATTATTATTATTTAAAAATAGGGCACAGATTGCAGATTGGAAGGTACTCGGAAGAAATAAAAAAAAAAAATTCTGTTTAGTCTTGTTTGCCAGCCACGACCCTGCAATAATCACATATTATTATGGACCGACCGAGAACCAACGGTGCGGATCCGCCGTGGGTTGCTTTTTTTGGGTGGGATGGATGTGGAATGGAGCCTGTCGGTTGGACAGTAGATGAGACCAACAGAAGGGTTGCAGAGGATGTACTAGTGCCGTAATTGAGGTGACTGGGGAGGGGGGCGGAGTTCTTTTCCTGCATTACAGGAAGGAATTATGTTTAGATTTTCCATATACGAGAATCAGAAAAAGAAAGGAGAAATCATCTGTTGTGTAGACAGTAAGCAATCATCATCATCATCATCATCATCGGCTACCCCTTGGCGAGTGTCAAAAGATCCAAAAGATCGGCCGCAAGTGGAACCAGGTCATTTCGGGGAAACATTAATGCGAGGAACCATTGCTGGAAAGGGAGTGGGGACTCAGGCACCTCCCTCAGGCATCACGAATCAACGAACTCCAAACTAGTAGTCAAGTCGTCTTTTCGCCCGTCGCTGCGTGTCTGCGGGCTGGCCATCCACACCCTTTCCCTCGCTTTTACCCTTGGCTTCGTCAATCTCTTTTCCCCTCCTCCTCCTCCTCCTCCTCCTCTCGCTCTGGCTCTTGTTGCTGCCTGTGAATCCACTTCCCGAGCCTCTCCTGGATGGCTTCTGTCGCAACTTCCTGACCTCTCCTGCAGTCGGTCGGCTGTTTTGTTTACTGCCTCGGAGTCGAAATACCTTACGACCTTCTGCAGGGCCTCCTGGCTTGCACTTAGGCCTCAATTCGTCCCCGTATCGCTGCAATTCTATGCTCAACTGCCGAACTCCAACTGTTTGACCGTCCTTCTTTTTTTATCGTCGCGTCTCGCCAGCCTTTTCCTCGATCAGCTACAGACATAACACGCCGGATCCCTTCCCAATTGCTCTTTCGACTCCTTTGTCAAACCCCCGTCCCTAACTCAAATCCGACGTTCGCTCGTTCCCCTTTTCGGCCCCTCATCGCGGCGCAGCTCCTTCGAGCCTGATTCAGGAAGAGTAGAAAAAAAAAAAAAAATCCAACACCTACCCTTCAGCTATAGAGATCCCCAACATTCGTTCCACCATGGCGTCGCCCTCTCTTTCGAGCTTGGAGCAGCGCAATCGCCTCCCCACGCTCTTCGAGGTCCTCAGTCGCCGGACCCTCGCTCCCGTCGACCTGTTTTCCTTCTATATCTACATGCGGGATCAACAGCGCTCGGTGGATTATCTGGACTTCTGGTATGATTGGGAAACATTGTGTTACCTGCTGGAGGGCTGTTAATAACCCATGTCTCTATTTTAGGCTCGATGTCTCGCAACACATGTCCCTCTGTCGTCATTACGTTCGGGAACTACGTCGGTCCGTCTTGGTAGCTACGCCTGATCTTGAGAAAGCCGACAGCAAAGGATCTTCCGGGGCATTGGATAATTTCGAGCATTACAACGACATCCCACTTGTTGAAGCTGGTCCCTCCAACTCACGCCATGGATTAAACGATGTCGGCGACCGGGATGCCGACCAGAGACTGTCTGCATTCCTTCGCTCTGAAGGTCAAACATCCGGACACTCGCCTCAAAGCAGCCTTGGTTCGCAAAATGCTGCTCGCACCACATCGAATGAGCTGCAACCTCGGGACAGTTCTGGGACTCGGAACGACTCGCCTTCGCCAGGCCATACGGTGGCACGTGCCGACATTCGCGCCAGCGCAGAAAAGATTCTCTACACGTACCTGCTTCCCGGGGCAGAGAGAGAAATTGTTCTCCCCGAGGAGATGGTATCCGGCATCATCAATCTGATTGAAGACGATGGCAGAGATGATCCTGAAGTATTCGATCCGGCGAAAGACTATGTCTTTCAGGCAATGGAGCGCGACGCTTTTCCAGGGTTCTTGCAGGCCAAAGCTTTGGGAAATCTGGTCCCCCTGACGATTCTCGCACGGCTGGCATTCGCCCTCATTAGCTTCGGTGGAGGCTTCTGGGGCGCGTTCTACGTGGTTCTCCGGGATAAACCACGGCATATTCGTTGCTGGGTAAGTAGCCAATCCCATACGAGGCGTGATATCCTACTAACATCTAATCAGTTGATCTTGCCTTTTGCCATTGCCTCTTACTTCATCGTCTCGTACCAGTACAAGATTGACCCGGTCATGGCGTTCCTCGGCTACAGCGAGTACACGTTCATGAATTGGTCGCCGATTCGCGAGCCATACGTGCGCAAACTGCTGAACAAGCGGGCCACGGCCACGGCCATGATCGCCTTCTTTGTCGCCGCAGCGTTGAGTATACTGTTCATCTTTGTGCCCGGTACTATGCTCTAATCTCCATAATATCGCGTATACCCTTGCCGATTTCCTTTCCGAAATCTGTTTCAATTTCTACGGCCGCGTGATAACCGCTTTTGGGCAGCATATATGTGCATCTTGATTCTTTCTGAGCGTTAGCCAGCGATCTTGCTTCTTGGGTCCAATTCAGCGCATGGATACAGAGAGAAGTTCTTCCTCCCCGAATGACCTCGGGGAGTCTCTTAATATGAGAAGGGGCAGATACCCAGTGCTTGGAGCACCAGTGATGGCTGCTCATGCCTCTGGTCCCATCGCATATGGGATTTACACCTACCAACTATCCATGGACTGGCGTGACACACCAGGTCCGTCGGGTCACGACGTTCATTTCACAGACACACCCTACACCCTGTGTATATTGGGTTTTTCTTTCATTGTTTATTTACCTTTCTACATAATACCCCTCATCTGCTGGATTTGCATGTACGTTAAACGATTTCTCTGAGGCTTTGGTGTTGTGGTTAGTCCACGGTAATTAGATTCTATTATTATGATATATTGATGCCATATTATGTTGGACACTAAGCAGTACCATGATGAACTTTCATTCTCAGTTTCCTAACACTCGTAAAATTCATAGAAACATTTCGAAGACTCGAAACGCTACCATGCTATTCGCTATAATGGGACTCACGCCTATAGTAATAGTACCACTAACCGTAGGTAAATAACTATGACTTCTTTCCCAACACCCGTTTGGGATGTCTAGCCGGTCCCGAAGAAGCACCACCACCACCACCCAACCTCACTCCAGCCCCATCATCAATATCCATCCTCGATCCCCCACCTCCCATCCCATCCCCTCCTTCAAGCCCATGCTCCCAATATCCATCATCATCATCAAACTCATCCGCCGCAAACTCCCTCTTATTTCCCCCAATCACCCCACCACCCCTACCACCCTGCTGCCACCCGCCACCACCTCCACCAACCTTCTTCTCCTCCATCTTAGCCCCCCACCCCGCAAGCGCCTTCTCAAACAACACCTCCTTCTCCCGCTCCTCCGCCCTCCGTCTCGCCGACTCCGTCTTAATCCGCAATATCTCGGCCTCAATATCCCCAATCACATCCCCGCAGCGCGTCTCCCACGCCGTCAGAATATCGATCATCTTACCCAGCGACTCGGGCTTCACGTCCCGGAGCGGCGCCACGGAAGTGACGTTCACAGTGGGCGGGGTGGAAGCGGGCGATAGACGGGCGGTGATCAGTGAGGCGTAGATGGCTTTTGTGACGAGGGATTCGAGCTCCGAGGGTTGTGTGATGCTTAGGGCTGTCATGAGGGAGCTGTAGGTTAGCGGGGTGGTGGTTGTCGAGAGGGTGAGGAGGGAGAGGAGTCGGAGTTTGAGGGTTTGGGCGTCGTTGAGGGGGGGGAGGTTGGGTGTTGCTGTTTCGGTTTAGTTATTGATACTTGTTTATTGAAGAAAAGGGTGGGAGCTGGGTATTGGGGGAAGACTTACATTGATAGTCTTGCCATGTGCCCCAGGCGAAGATCTCTAGGAGAGTCAGATAGCTTGCATATTCGGCTGGGGTGTTGGGGTCCCGGAGGGATTGGATGGCTGGGGTGGTGAGGAGTTCGGCGAATACGTAGGTGTTTGGGTTGGAGGTCGCGTTGGTGATTAGGTTTGTGATGAAGCGTGGGGAGGTCGCGCTGTTGGAGGTGGCGAGGTGGATGAATGGTTGGAGGGCTTCGAGGGCCCGGGTGTGTATTTGGTCCATTTTGTGGTGGTGGTTGTGAAGATGAGGGGGTGAGGTTGGGATGATTCGGTTGGTAAGGTGGATTGAAGTTATAGATGGGTATGTGTATCAGTGTGCGAATTGTGGTGACGAGTGTTCCATTAGTTATGGTACTGTGGAGGGATGGTAGTGGTGCTGATGTTGTTGATGGTGATAGTGATTAGTATGATGGTATGGGAGGAGCAACAATGATGTCTCCTCTGGTGTTTGCATTAGATGCAAACAATGATATTTAATTGTATGTTTGAATGGTGATCTTGTCTTCTAGAGTCAATGACATTGTCGGCTTCCGTTTCGGCTAATTGCTCTGCTCATGATGGCTGTGAAGGATTGATCCCCTGACTGCTAGCTATATTACAGTTGATTTACTACAGACAAATCTGGTCATCCAAGTCACTCATTCGGCTACTTTCCATATAATCGAAACGAAGCCGGTTCGGTGCCAAGTGTTTCACCCCCCAGACCCTTCAGTCCTTGTCTGAGTTTGATATCCCATGACAGCTGCTACTAGGATGGAGCATATAATAAGTATGATGCTTCTCGTGTTGCAGCATCAGACCTGGTCATTTCCCTGGCAGTCTGGGCGAAAGGTCTGGGTATATCCCTTTCATGGGGAGGGTTCATACCAGAGCCCGTGTGCAGGGCAGATAAGCAACCGTTAGATGGATGGGTAGTACAGGCCAGATAGATAAGTGCTAGCGCATGCGTGGGTGGCTTATTGAGCTGGATCGGACAGCTCAGCTGATACAATGCGATCTTATTGACAATATTACTGCATAGTAGGTTTGACTCGCACATCCCGAAAAATTCATCCGAAGGGTGAACGAACCATGAACACGGTACTGAGTTCAATACCTACTTACCTACTATGTACTACAGTAAGTATACTACGAGTGGTCCCCCGAGAGTAAGTAAGTGGTCCCAGCCTTCCAAATGCCCTGAAGCGGCAATGTTGCCCGATTTGGAGCAGAAATACTCACGTAAGTCCGCGGGGCGGCGGAGACAACCTGACGCCATCCACTGCGTATTTTTCTGTTAGCGCCATCGTTGCGGTGGGTTGGGATGCGCCTGGCATCATTCCTCCAGACTCGATCTAATCTTAGTCCGTGGTTGAATGGGATTCCCGCCGCCTGGAATGTCTTGGACCTCTTGGTTTTACCTGCTGTTTACCATTCTTTCTTTCCCATCCCACGCTCTTTGTGGGTGGCCTAAGATTAGGTTTCTTCCCGTGCAAAAACCCCCATTTCAGCTCCCGTACCATCCGTCGTAGTGAAAGTAAGTAAGTAGTTCTCGTCTTAGTGTCCTTGATGTAATTAATTGCTGCATGTTTAAAAGGCTCGGCGTATCCTTTCCGTCGCATCCGGTCCGAATGTCTCTAAATCGAACGACCCTTGCGTGTTACTAGCATTTTCCTGCTTATTATTCCTTTCCCCTCCCTTCCTTTTATTATCTCCCCCGACCTCCTCGTCCCCCCTCTTCCTCCCAAACGAACGCATGCATTAACACACCACCGCGCGTCCCGACCGTCCTTGTCCGGCTTCTGCAGCAACTCGGCGCAACATGGCGGCCTCATCCTCCGCTCTGTTAAGCGCCGGCACCGATGGCGCTCCTTCCGACCGATCAGCAGCCCATATGGCGACCACAACAGTCAATGTCGAGGGAATGACATGCGGCGCTTGCACCTCCGCCGTCGAGGGCGCCTTCAAGGGGGTGGAGGGTGCTGGCGAGGTAACCGTCAGCTTGATGATGGGCCGGGCTGTAGTCCATCATGACCCAACCCTGCTTCCTGCGGAGAAAGTCGCCGAAATTATTGAGGACTGCGGCTTCGATGCAACGATCGTCTCTACGGATAGTGCGTCTATGCCGGCGGATGGTTCCCGCGGGGCCAGGGATAAAGTGTTTCAGCTGTCAACCACGACGTTGGCCGTCGAGGGCATGACATGCGGTGCTTGCACCTCCGCGGTGGAGGGAGGATTGAAGGATACACCTGGTGTACATTCAGTCAATGTATCTCTGCTTTCCGAACGAGCTGTCGTGGAGCATGATCCATCTCTCGTTACGCCCGACCAGATTGCAGAGATTATCGAGGACCGTGGGTTTGGCGCAAAGGTGCTGGAAACCGCAACGGAGGAGAGCGCTGTCCGCACCTTGGAGGATTTGTCGGGCTCTGCACCGGGGTTGATGGTCACGAAGGTGTCTATAGATGGTATGACGTGTGGTGCTTGTACGTCGAGTATACAGAATGCCTTCAGCGGGGTGGACGGTGTAGTGCAATTCAACATTAGCTTGCTAGCCGAGCGTGCGATTATCACTCACGACCCTACGACCCTTACTACGAAACAAATTGTCAGCATAATCGACGATGCCGGTTTCGACACTACCGTCCTTTCATCGGAAGCACAGGCGCCTACATCAAAAGGCCTCGGCCGTGTCACTCTCAGCCTCCACGGCTTGCGCGATGCTGCCTCGGCCTCGGCCTTGGAAGATACACTACATCAGAACCCCGGGATCTCGTCGGCGTCTGTAAATATGGCCAACTCTCAAATCACATTGTCATACGAGTCCTCCAAGATTGGTATTCGTTCGATCGTCGAAGCGATCGAAAAGGCCGGATACAATGCCCTCCTATCCCAGTCCGATGATACCAATGCGCAGCTGGAATCGCTGTCCAAAACCAAGGAGGTTCGGGAATGGAAGCGCTCATTCCTATTCTCTGCTTCGTTCGCGGTCCCCGTGTTCCTGATCAATATGCTACTGCCGATGTATCTCCCGGTCCTCGATTTCGGCCGTGTTAGGCTATGCTCCGGTCTCTACCTTGGTGATGTTGCCTGTCTTCTGCTCACTATTCCGGTGCAATTTGGCATTGGAAAGCGGTTCTACGTAGCCAGTTACAAATCCTTGAAACATCGCTCGCCAACCATGGACGTGCTCGTTATGCTTGGTACCTCTGCTGCATTTTTCTACAGCGTGTTTACCATGGTTGTTTCATTGCTTTCGATGAACGATATTCGCCCAAGTACGGTCTTCGATACCAGCACGATGCTTATAACCTTTATTACTCTCGGAAGATGGCTGGAGAATCGGGCCAAGGGCCAGACCTCTGCCGCTCTCTCCCGGCTCATGTCCCTTGCACCGTCAATGACTACTATTTACGACGACCCGATAGCGGCGGAGAAGCTCGCCGAGGAATGGGGAAATCCTGACGAAAAGCCCAAGGAGCACACATCCTCGGCCACCGAGGAGCGCGCAGGGCCAGGGCACCAGATAATCCCAACGGAGCTCATCGAGCTAGGGGATGTTGTGCTCTTACACCCTGGTGACAAAGTACCGGCTGATGGCGTTGTCATTCGCGGTGAAAGCTATGTCGATGAGAGTATGATTACTGGTGAAGCTTTGCCAATCCACAAGGCCAAGGGCAGTGTTGTCATCGCTGGCACGGTCAACGGCACTAGCTCCATGGACTTCAAGGTCACTCGAGCTGGCAAGGATACTCAGCTGAGCCAGATTGTCAAGTTGGTTCAAGATGCTCAAACTAGCCGGGCTCCAATCCAACGGATGGCCGATGTTGTTGCGGGCTATTTCGTTCCAGCTATCATCAGTCTTGGTCTTGTCACATTCTTCGGCTGGATGTTCATGAGCCATATCCTACCTCACCCTCCCAAGATCTTCTTGTCTGAAAACAACGGAGGCAAGTTCATGGTCTGTCTCAAGCTTTGCATCTCGGTTATTGTCTTCGCCTGCCCCTGTGCTCTCGGTCTCAGCACGCCTACAGCTGTCATGGTCGGGACTGGAGTTGGTGCACAGCAGGGTATCCTTGTCAAGGGCGGTGCTGTCCTCGAAGCTGCTACCAAGATCAACCACGTCGTGTTCGATAAGACCGGAACATTGACCACCGGCAAAATGAGTGTTGCTGAAGCTAAAATCGAGCCACATTGGTCATCTAACGACTGGCGCCGCAGACTCTGGTGGTTGATCGTTGGTCTTGCAGAAATGAGCAGCGAACACCCCATCGGCAGGGCCATCTTCTCCGCTGCTCAATCTGAGTCCGGTCATCCAGGAGACGGCCTGCCCGGCAGCTTGGGTGACCTTGAAGCTTGCGTCGGCAAGGGAATTTCCGCCTTGGTCGAGCCGACATCCAGTGCAGAGCGCATCCGGTACCGTGTCCTGGTGGGAAACCTTGCTTTCCTGCGATCAAGGGACGTTCCCGTCCCTGAAACAGCTGAACCAGACGACTCCGACATCACCCCCAAGTCCAAGGTTCCTGCCGGTATCACCCAAATCCACGTCGCCATCGATGGCCAATACGCAGGGTCCATCTTGCTCCGGGACACCGTGAAGGTGACCGCACCAGCAGCCGTCGCCGCCCTCCACCGCATGGGAATCACAACCTCCCTTATCACCGGTGATACCTACGCCACCGCCATCTCAATCGCCTCGGCAGTGGGAATCCCAACAGAGGCAGTCCACGCCTCTGTCTCCCCCTCCGACAAGCAATCCATCGTCGCCTCGATGCAAGACTCCGGCGACCGCGTCGCCATGGTCGGCGACGGCATCAACGACTCTCCCGCCCTAGCCACCGCATCCGTAGGCATCGCCCTCGCCTCAGGCACCGACGTGGCCGTCGAAGCAGCAGACATCGTCCTCATGCGACCCGACGACCTCCTCTCTGTACCCGCAAGCCTCTCCCTTTCCCGCTCAGTCTTCAACCGCATCAAACTCAACCTCATGTGGGCCTGCCTCTACAACGTCATCGGTCTGCCCTTCGCAATGGGTCTCTTCCTCCCATTCGGATTCATGCTACCCCCGATGGCCGCCGGCGCCGCAATGGCTCTATCCAGCGTCTCCGTCGTGGTGAGCAGCCTGCTCCTCAAATTCTGGCGGAGACCAGGCTGGATGGACGCCGAAAAGCTACAAAAGGAAATCGACTCATCCGATGGCAGCTTCAATGCCTCCAAGAGGAGCTGGTGGGGAGCCACGCTATCAGTAACCGGATCTAGTTCCCACAGACGCTCATCCTCGTCCTCCTGGGTCCGGGAGTTCGTCTCTGATACCTGGTCAGCCGTGACGGGTAGGAAGAGGAGAGGCTCGAATGCTAATGAGGGACTCTATGTTCCTCTTCAGACGGTGGAGCCGCCGGTTTGATC